AGTTTTACGCACAAAGAAAATATTTTAAAATAGTAGGAAAAGGAAGAAGGGAAAAAAAGACAAATGACAACAAAATAATCAAGGAATACAAGTGTGTTTTCATGAACGAAACACAAAAGGGAATGACAAAACATCACCGTGTAGATAACGGCAGAACAACCGCTTATATACAAAGTTACTTTTAACTACACGTTTCGAAGCGTTCCTGAATTTCATCTTCAGGTTCTGAAAATGTCAAAAATCCATTTTGTACACACTAGGTTTTCTGCCATAAGGGTATTTGGGCATTGCAAAACTTCGCACTCATAACTTCCGCCGCGGACCACGAGTGTTCGAAGATTCCTATGTTGACTTCGACTCGGTGCATGGGTCGTTAAGTCGTCCTCTTCTTCAGCTGTTGAGGAGGAACGATGCTCAAGTGTGTGTGTGAGAGTAATGGAAGTACGTACGCATGTATCTGTGATTATTTTCCATTAGTATTATTACTTTCTGGTGTTTTATTGTGAGTGTGTATGTGTGTGTGTGTGTGTTTTCACTCGTGCGCCAATAAGATATATCTATATATAAATCTGTCCCTGTATATGTATTAACTGTGCGGATGATGCTGATCTCTCTCCATGTGTGAGGATCTTATCGACTGTAGAGTGATAATGAGATTAGCTTTTTACAGAATGAAAAGGGAGGAAAAAATATTGGTGATAGTTTTAACGTGTGTCCAAAATGGAAGACACTTAATTACATTTGGATTAGGAAGATAAACTAATGCGATCTTTTTCATTTACTGTATAAAAATATCCGGTAAAAAGGTTTAAGAGTCTATTATTGTTAAGATAGAATTTTGCGACCATTTTATATTTTACAATAAAATGCAATTCACGTATGGATGTATTGATATCAACACTGATATTAAAATGATAAGTCGTTTATAACAGACGATAAAAAAGTAGGAAGAGTAATATGTTTTTACACATCTACATCATTTCTATTGGCTACATTATCATACCCCGATTTTAGCCCTCGTTGGCATCACGTTTTCATGATCTATCAATTTGCTATTGCGAATTGTCGCCTGAGAGACCTGCTTCAGATCCCCCTCCTCGTCCATACCGCTTATGCGAGAAGCAGATATAGGTCTGTACTGTAGTTGTGACGTGTACATGAGCGACTCCAAATATTCAGATTTAAAATTTGCCATATGTATGTGTGTGTGTATATATATACATATATATATATATATATATATATATATATATATATATATATATATATAT